TTTTTTTTTTTTTTTTTTTTTGTCGAAAGTTGCATGGTTTTTAGAGATAGCAATGCGTAATGGTAGGAACAACCGACTAGTAGTAATCCTGACATCGGAGACACTGATTGAATAATAGCAACCCTGACGACTGAGGCACGGATTGAGCCAAAGTCTTTTTTCGACCTAATTTAATTAATATGAGCTGACGGTGTCTGAGAATTTATTTTCTTGCTGCCTCGATATTTTGCCGAGGCCCCAACCCCGGGTCTGCTTATCCGAGGTTCGGGAACCCGAAGGTTTCTCTAGCCCCAAGCACAAAAAAGGTGCCCATCCGCCTAAAAAGCCCGACAAGCATGTATGAAATTTTATCCCTGGAAAAGGTCAAGGAATTATCGAGGGAACGTTGGTGAGAACGGCCTCTTCTTGTCTATAATTTAGAAGTGCGATGATGTGAGACACTTGCTTCTAATTTCAATATCATCTTACTATGGCTAGTCAAAATTCAGATTGTCTTCTTTACCACGTGCTTTCCCAATACCCCTTGAAGTGGGAAAAAGATACCCTAAATTTTCAAGAACATAGAAGCAACGAAAGGAAAACAGTGGAATGACGTCATACTAAAAGCCACCCAAGACAGCAGAAGTGTTTGTTCTTTTCCTAGTGCATCAGTAGAAAGTCCTACAGAGACATGGAACGCTATCGATCAGAAACTTTCTAATAACTTTTCGCATACTTGCTTTGACAAACTTGCTGGAGTTCATACTCAAGATCACCCAGAAATACCGAGCAAAAACTCAAGAGACTTTTCTAATATAGGTCAGCATTGGTCTGAAGCAGAGTGATTGAAAAAAATCAATGTGGACGTATTATCTCAGCGTAGACTCCAGAGTTTTCTTGGGGTTTATGTTGAACTTCAAGACATTACCGACGAGTATTTTGACGAGACACAGCAAGTAATACGTTGTCACGTTGCGGGAATAGATGAGTGTAGACCAACTAAACTGATGTGATATATTGGTCATCTGAGTAAAGTCAAGGAATTCTGGAAGGGAAGGATTTAAGGTTGAGAGGTGGTGAGAACGGCGTCCTCTTGTCTATAATTTAGAAGTGATCTATACTGTGCACATGACGCACTTGCTTCGAATTTCGAGCCGCCAGATTATCGAATGCAAAACAAATTGTATTTTAATGTACAGTATGAATAGGCCCGCTCGTGAAAAGTAGTTAGTTTTGGAAGACAGACAAGTGGCACACCATCTCAGATATGACTGGGAAACGTGCCCTCAACAGGGAAATAGAGGTGTTACTTTGGAGACTCAGGTCTCTGAAAAACCTCTAAAACATCAGCAGCCGAAGAAATGCCCATCTTGCTTTCAAAGACAAGTGGCGAGGCTATAAGCAAACACCCCAAAGCAATTTCAAAGCGGACAATCGATTCATGCGAAGCCAACGCAATCTCGATGAATACCTGAACATTTCTCTGGATAGAATACGTCAGTCGTACGTCACTAAAGTGGAGGCCGAAAAAGGCTTTTATATCCCGAGTAACTTCCACGACGAGAAAACAAGAAATGCTTTTCATAGGAGAGAACATAGTGTGATTTGTTGGCAAAGGTTACTGCAAAAAGCCACCAAAGGTCTTGTCTCAGACCAAGGCAGCCCTCAGAACACATTGCTCTATGAATAGACTAGTATATACAAGTGCATTTGAATCAGCACGGATTTGCAGGGCTGCCATACCGCCACTGAACACACACCCGGTGGGGCCACGGAATCTTCCAATCAGTGCTTAGCAGTGCTTTCCATGGGAAACACAAGCCAGGAGAAGAGACAGAATGACGCAGCCAAACTTCCCAGATATCACCCCAACCCTCCTCGGAATTGCGGTACACTGCACGTCTCCATCGGCTAGATCTAACAATGCCCGACGGTGGACTTGGTGTATGCCAATGAAACAGATTGGAAAATGGATCTTTGATGGGGAATATGGCTGGAACAAACACTATAAGGGTGCTGACTTTATACTAGGCCAACCAAAAGAACACGTCTTCAATTGCGTCAATCTGTTGTGTGCCATTTATCAGCTGGCTAGCACTTCCTGTTCTTTGAAGGCATCTGCATCATCATAAAACGTGCTCGGGATCTTGGTTGGTGTTTTTTGCCGATCGTACTTTGAAGTATGATCCAAGAAGCACCAGGTCAAGACAATCCACCAAAGCATAAACAAACAGGCTCGAAAGTGGTCGTGGCGCCGACGGGAAACAACAGTACTTGACAGACCGAGAAAGGGCCAGAAAGCATCGAGTTGTAGAGCCAAAGAAACAAGCGTTTTTATCCAACAGGTCCATTTAACAAAACCAGGCCCGTTAAACAGAAATCATGTCCATTTAACAGAAACCATGTCCATTTAACACAGAAGACACACCTCTCCAACAGAAAACAGACCCATTTAACAAAACACAGGTCCATCCAACAAAAAATCACACCCAAAACAGAAAACAGGCGATTTAACAGAAAACAGGCGCATTAACAGGCAGAGCCAACAAGAACAGACCCACTCAACGAAACAACAGCCCCACACAACAACACAATCCAACAGAACACATGTCCATTCAACAGAAGACATGTCCATGCAACAGAAAGCTGGTCCATCCAACAAACCCACAACAGAAAACAGGCGCGTTTAATAGAAAACAGGCGCATCTAACAAACCACAGGCAGACCCACAAAAAACACACCCATCCAACAGAGAATCCCCCGGGCCGCCCTCACGCCGCGGCGCCCAGGTGCCTCGCTCGGATGTACTCGAAAGCCTCGGAAAACTTCAACTGGCTCACGAGAAGCTTCTCGGCAAGAACCCGCGGGCACCACGCCAACAAGTGCCCCGCAAAGTACGCCGCGCCGCCGCGGTAGATGTGCAAGCGGCCGCCCAAGCGCTGGGCCTCGAAATCGCCCACCACGCGGCGTGCGTACAGCTCGGCCGACACCGGGCGTTTCAGGGCCGTCATGCCCAGGAGCTCGGCCATGGCCGCGTCGATGCCCGGCACCCGGAACCTGGAGTGTTCCGGCAAGCCGCGCAGGTCGCCGATGGGTGTCTGCACGCTGCCGGTCACGAAGTTCAACACGGTCACGCCAAACGGCTCCATCTCGACGCGGAGCGTGGCCACGTACTGATGGAGCGCGGCCTTGGAGGCCGAGTACACCGCGAGAAACGGCGCCGGGAGCACGCCGCTGACCGACCCCGTGAAGCCCACCGTGCCCCTGGCCTTGATGAGCAAGGCTGCAAATTCACGCGTCACCGCCATGGGGGCAAACACGTTGACTGCAAAACATTGTGCCACCGCGGCGTCCGTCGCGTCCATGGCCGCCATGGTACAGGCCTGGCCGGCGTTGTTGTATAGAATGTCGAGCCTGCCGTCGTTGTCGCTGCTGATGTGGCTGCACATTCTGGCCACGGCGTCTGTTTGTGTCACGTCGCAGACAAGCGTGTGAATGCCGTGGGCTTCCAAGGGCGCCATGGGTGCAAGACGCCGGGCGCACGCGTATACCTTGTAGCCTCTTTTTGCAAACTCCACTGCGGCGGCCAAGCCGATGCCGGACGAGGCGCCGGTGACGAGCACGACTTTCTGGCGCGCCATTTCTACGATTTACGGGCTATGTAGGGTGCTGGGGGTGGTGGCAAAAACGGCTGGTGCCAGGCCCAGAAGGCCGGTGAGCACTGGCCGCGGTGCGCGCACGACCGCCGCTGCTGGCGTCGCTATAAATGGCAGCCCCCAGAAACTGTTCTGGGTATATAAAAAAAGGCAAGGCGGAGGGGGGCTTTGGCTTGGGCGGCGCTGGAATTGCTGTCCCTGGTTTTATAGGGGTGGCTGGGTTTGGGGACAGAGGGGCCTGGGTTGTGGTCATGCCTCTGGTTTTCATCTGCACCAGGTATCGGGTCCCTGCAGGCCCGATCCTCCACTACTGTTTTGAAATCTGGCAGTGTGGTGTGGATGTTCTGGTAAACAGCTTGGGTCATATCCTCTTCAGATGTTCTGGGATACAAGATGTATGTTTTTATTTGAGATGTTCTAGTATCCAATATTGGCTATATCATCATTTGGGATGTTCTAGGATACAAGATGTATGAGATTATTTGAGATGGGCTGGGATACAAGATGTATGTTTTTATTTGAGATGTTCTAGTATCCAATATTGGCTATATAATCATTTGGGATGTTCTAGGATACAAGATGTATG